GCAGCGGCTTGGGGCCCGAAGCGGTCATGGCCGGCGGGAGCTGAGGGAGGGGCGCTCGGCGGAGCGAGGCCGCGGGGGCCTAGCCCGAGCTCGGCGCGAGGGTGCTGAGGTGGGGGCGGCTGGGAGCCCAGAGTCGGGGATGCGGCCGAGGGATTCCAGTCTCCCAGGTCCGCGGCGAGAAGCCGAGGGAGGGGAGGGGGTGCTGAGCAGAACCCCAGTCCCCGCGTCCCGAACCTGGGCGCTCTCAGAGAGACGGGGATAGGGAGACTCCAGGAGCGCGCGGCGTGGAGGATGGGTTTGGGGAAGCGCGCGGCCCCCAGTTTGATGGGGGGCTCTCGGAGGACGGAGCAGGCAGGGACCCTTGTCCACAACACATACATACACACTTGTTGGGCAACTAGCTCGGCTCACTCAGCCGCTTCCAGCTTCCCGCGGGCACCCAGAGGGCCAGACCGTGGACATATATACACACATACATACATCCGTACATATGTGCACACAGACATACCTCCCGCACACCAGCGCCCACTGGGGCACCGTCACCAGCTCAGAATCCGCTTCAGTGTCTGCACGATCAGCAGCACGGACACGCAACCCGTGGCTTTACAGAGCAACAACACAACCGGGTGTGACACCCCGCGACGTGGACACACAAACACAGTCTCGTGCCCTCATGTACGAGTGTCACAGCCACAGTTGACTACACGAACCCTCCAAAACCTAGCCACCCCCCACATTCCTTTAAGGAACACACCCTAACATATATCATCTCACCCACTTCTTGGCCAGAATATAGGTACACAGCACAGGTCTCCTTGCACCCCTCTACTGCACCCACACAAACACACAACCCAGTATTTCAGCACAAGCTTGACGGCACACACCCTAACACAGGAAGTGGCACCAACAGCAGCGCCTCACAGACACAAACACAGAATCCACTGCTTCACCCATCTTAACACTGGGTGTCACACACACCTTAAACCAACAGTGTCACATTACATTACACCCTGCAGCTCATACACACAAACACACACACTCTGTTCCTCTCCCTCGGAGTCCAGATTCAGGCAGAAGCCGCCGGGGTCGCTTGGCGAGCCCCAAGCGCCCCGCCACCTTAATCGCGACATTGTTATTGTAAATATCGGCACAGCGGGAAGCCTGGTTCCCAGCCGGCGCCTCCCCAACCCCCACTCCCGGGCCGAACCGGCCGGTGTTCCGGGAACAAACTGGACCTGGCTGGCCCAGCCATCCCGCCTCCCCAGGGCTCCGGGGCCCCAGGTTCATTTGCAGAGGGTGCTAGCCTGGGACAGTGATTGCGACCCTCTTCCGGACATTTAGCTGAGTTTTCTGAGCCATCTGGGTCTCCAGCACACTTGGGTTCCACACACCTTGGTGGATCCCGCACACCTTGGTTCGTCTCACACCTGGGCGCTCCCTCCGCCTAGTCCCCGCTGTAGGCCAGTGTGTGCGCGGGCAGGCCCTGGAGCCAGAAAGAAGATCGCGGCAGGCACAGGAGCAAAATTTGTAGGCGAGGTGGTCTCGCACCCCTTCCCCACCAGCTACCCTCTGTAAGTCAGACTTATGGCCTCAGTTTCCCCAACAGTGGTCGGCTACTATTTCTTCTGCCAGGAAAGACTGAGGGCGGCACTGAGGCCTTGGAGGATTGAGCTTAGGGTAAAATCCCCCCTCCGCTCGCCACGAGAGGGTCGGTTTTATGAGAATGTCCCCGCCTAGCCGGGTTCGCGGCTTTGTGATTCCAGCGCCGGCTCCCTCCCTGCCCCCTCCCGGCGCCTGCTGCGCTGCTCGCGCCGGCGCCGGCTTGCGGGGGACCCTAGGCCGAGGCCGGAGATGCCGGGGAGGAGGGATTCCCCGCGGTGGCCTGGGTGCGGGGGGCTCAAGGGTTCCCCCAACTAGCCGAGGCGCGTTCTCAACACGCCGCGCCCTAGTCTTGCCTTGGGTTCCTGGAGGCCAGTTCCTGCCAGGGTGGGGGTGGGGCCACCAGAGCCCAAGAAACTGCCGCCGTCCTCCGCCACCCCCCAATCCCCGCAACACACACACACACACACACACACACACACACACACACACACACACAGTCGGCGTCCTCTGGGAGGAGTCGCTCCGCGCGCTGGGTGTGTGCTGGGAGCGCCCGCTCACCAAGCCGGTGCGGACTGGGGCTGCTCGGGTTGGCAGAGTCCAGGACTTCGTGCAGGAGGACGCCGCGAGCCTTCTAGCACCTGTTCTGGGTCAACCCTCGGGAGCTGCCAGGAAAGGGGGCCACCCAGAAAGTTTTTATGACAACCCGGAGGTCTAGCTGTGTTTGGGAAGCGGGGGCGCGGGGGTAGTGGTGTTACTTTATTGACGTGAAGGTCTGGGGGGTATTGGAACCTGTAATTACAACTAGACTAGGGCATGGGGTGGAATCGAGGGGAGAGGGAGACGGGCCCCCAGAGGTGGCCTGAGGCAGTGTGATAGGGAGGCAAGTCTGGATTCAGTTCTGGCCGCATTTAGTTTTTACCCCTTTTCCTACCCACCTCCAATTCCCAATTCCAAAAGGGACTTGAGCTGGAAGGGGGTGTCTTGCTGGTCTGGCATATTCTTAGCAGAGAGGCTGCTGCTGTGGCTACTTCTGCAGAGGAGCTGGGCAAGCGATAGTAACCTTACTGCTGGGAAGAAGGGGGTTGAAGGGCCAGGAGGGGGCCTACGAGGGTGGGGGAGGAGCTAAGTGGGAATCAAGGTTCAGGGAGGAGTGTGGGGGAAAGAAGGAGAAGGTGAGGGCTGCCCCTTCCATGAGCAAGCATAGTTGGTGCAGAGATTCTGTTCAACAATATATTGAGCACCTTTTATCTGCCAGGGCCCATGGTGGGTGGTGAGGATGCGGTAGTAAGATGCGTACCATCATTGCCTTCATAGGACTTACCAAGCAGCGAGGGATTGGCTTGTTTATTCATCCAACAAAGGGGCACCCACTGTGTGCCTGATGCTGGAAATAAAATGGTCTATTCAGCAATTGGAAGACTTAGAAAAAAATGATTTGTCCTTTACATGTGATGTAAATAGACCTTAATGTAACAGACCTTATAGGCATGAGATCTCATTTAATTCTCCCAAATAATTTCAAGAGGCAGGATTCATTATTTCCATTTCACAGTATGGAAACAGGTTCAGAAAAGTAAATTCACTTGGTTAATGTCACACAGCTAGGAAGTGGTGGAGCGAGGGTTCTAACCCCAACAATCTGACTCGAGCATGCAGGTGCCCAGAAGCCCTGCAGAGGCTAATAGAGGGTTGTGGGAGAGAGGGGAGAGGAGCTGAGGTCTGCACACTTGCTTTCAGAGGGAGGCTTCTGTTCAGCTCCACCCCACACAGCCCCATTTGCTTCCCCTCTTCCCCCAGACAGTCCCTTTGTCCCTTGGTGTTTTGCGCCCGCGGCATTGACCGTTGTGTAACAGTGCTGGAGTGAGGGTGGGGAGTCAGAGCTGACCTGGCTACTGGGACAGTGGTGGCTGCCTCTGTGTGTGTTTTTTCTCTCTGGCCACAGCACTCAGCAAAATGGACCTTAGTCCCCAGGGTGGGCTGGGAATGAAGTTTCCGGGTGAACCCTCACCTCTGTTCTCATCCCTTCCCAGATGTTGACACAGATAGTATTTCCTTCGGCTTTTCTGGGACTCCGTCCCCTCCTTATCCCTTACTCCTACACCCCTGATGACACTTCTGCTCCTCTATCTGAGGGACATGGGTCCCTGTGCCTGTTCCCCCTGAGGCTTCTCAGGGTCCTGGGAGCCCATGTCACTGCGGGGAGGTGGGGCACCGTTGCCCAGGAAGGCAGTCAGGGCCTGGGGAAGGGCAGATAAGGCGCTGCATGTATCAAAGGCTGCCATGTGGGACTAATGAGTCCCAGTGCCCAACTGCTGGGGACAAAGTTCAGAGATGATGGGGGCAGGGGTGAGGGAAGGCCTCCTTATTGCTGCTCCTGCCCTTCCAGGCCACCCTGGCTCTCTCCCTGCATCTCTACAGGCCCCTGTGTGAACAGCAGCAGCCTAGGAAGCCTGGGCTCATCCATTCCTTGACCCTTAGGCCCACTCTTTCTTATTCCCTACTTACTGGGCAAGGTTGGCAGTCCAGGAATGGTGGGGAGGTGGGTGTGACATAACAAGCATCAGATTCTAGCCTCAGACATTTCTGTTCCTTTCCCCCAGACTCTGGGATGTGAAGAGGCATTCTTATTTCTCAAGTCCTGACTCTTCCACATACTACTTCTGTGACTTGAGACAGTTTATTCTTTCTCAGCCCGCATTTGATCATCTGTAGTATGGGAAGGAGTGTAATAATAAATAGTACCCATTTCAGAGGGTTGGGAGGAAAGAGATCATGTGTGTAAAATGCTTAGTACTGAGTAGAATCTTAGTGTTTGCTGAGATGATAATGAGTGATGATGATGGCAAAGGTGATGATAAGAGTTTGCAGGGGCCGGGTGCGGCGGTGGCTCACGCCTGTAATCCCAGCACTTTGGGAGGCCCAGGCAGGCGGATCACAAGGTCAGGAGATAGAGACCATCCTGGCTAACATGGTGAAACCCCACCTCTACTAAATAATACAAAAAATTAGCCGGGCGTGATGGCGAGCGCCTGTGGTTCCAGCTACTTGGGAGACTGAGGCAGGAGAATGGCATGAACCCGGAAGGCGAAGCTTGCAGTGAGCCGAGACTGAGCTACTGCACTCCAGTGCGAGACTCCATCCCCCCACCAAATAAAAAAAAGAGTTTGCAGTACCTGGCCTGGCGTGGTGGCTCACGCCTGTAATCCTAGCACTTTGAGAGGCCGAGGCAGGGGCAGATCATAAGGTCAGGAGATCGAGACCATCCTGGCCAACATGGTGAAACACCGTCTCTACTAAAATACAAAAAAAAAAAAAAAATTAGCCGGGCGTGGTGGCACGCACCTGTAGTACCAGCTACTTGGGAGGCTGAGGCAGGGGAATTGCTTGAACCCGGGAGGCAGAGGTTGCAATGAGGCCAGATCGCACCACTGCATTCCAGCCTGGCAACGGAAAGTTTGCAGGACCTCAGGCCCTTTCTTAACTCCCTGGAATTATCTTAAAGTTGTACCCAGATGATCCAACCATTGCATCACAATTGCTTGGGGGTTTCTCTAGGTCCACCTCCTGAATAAAGATTCCTAAGGGTGGGGCCAGATAATCCTCATTTTGAAGGAACTCTCCAGATGCTTGAAGGGCCTGAGCCTCTTCAACTCCTTTCCCCACTGTGAGCAGCTCTCCCCCAGCCCTGTTTTCCCCTCATTCCTCCTACTTTCTGGGACCTTTCCCCAGCCCCGCCATCCTATACCTTCCTTGAGTTGGATATTATCCTGTGGTTCTCCTTCTCTTTCCAATTCAGAGGTTAGATACCACAGTCCTTAACTGGTTCTTTTGCTGGCTGGAGGGAAGGCAACTCCTAAGGGTGAGAAAGAGCATATGGGGGGCGGAGGTAGTCTCACAAGCATGTGTGCCTGTTCTGCCTAGGAGGTTTGAAAGGTTATAGGGCCTCAGGTTGTGACTGTGAGATGGAGGAGGCCTGAGGTAGGGGCTTCATTCGTAGCTCTTGGAGTGGCCACACATCATTCGCTCTGACTGCCGGATCATGGCCCCCTGAATTAATTAGCAGCTAAAGTTTGTGAACGGTCATTTTTCCTGGAAAAATCTGCACCATGGTTTTATAAAATTCTTGAGGGAGGATGTGACCACAAAAGATTAACTATCTTAAATATCCTTGATCTGGAGAGAACAGAGGCAAACAGTGACTGCCTTATTTATTCTCTTGGTCAGGTTTAGGGTAATTCCTGTGGGCTTCCCACATAACGCCTCACCTGCCAAGACTTACGTAGAGAATTGGGGTGCACAATGATACCACCTTGTATATGCAGAGGAGGGTGGCAGCAGGACTCAGTCCCATAAGAAAATGAGGTTCTCTGGTGATGGTCCTTTGGGGATGTGTTTGGATTGGGGTTGAAGTAGTCAGATGAGCCTTGTGTCAGGTCCATGCAGGTGGAGGGGAGGTGACTGGAGGTGGGGTGGATCCAAATGGAGTATCAGATAAATTCCTGCTTCCTTTAAAGAGATTAAGATTGCAACAGGAACAAACATTCACATCAATCTGATAACGGCTGGCCGGCCAGCCGCACACACTTTAGGGAGGGGCCTGTGCTTGGGGAAGGCCACACAGAGGAGGGGAAGTGTTTGATTTATCTAAGGACTCTGTGCATTCAGTGAACATTTGCTGAGAGTCTGCTATGTGCCCTAAACAGAGAAGACTTACATTTTGCCCCAGGAAGTTCTTAGTGGAGTAGGGGAATCGGGTAAGTGAGCAAGTAAAAGAGCAGTGGTCACACACCAGGAAAGGCTAAGCCCAGAGAGCCAAAATAACAACAGTCATTCAAGAGCTGCCGAGTGCCCACTGTATGCCAGGTCCAGGGCTAAGCCCTGAGGAGGTAGGAGCAAACAAAATAGAAACTCTCCTGCTTTCTGCTCACCGTCTTGTAGCAAAGACAGGCAATTAACACATTTTCCAAACAGCTACACAACTACAATTGTGCTAAATGCTTTGAAGGAGTCCTTTGTTGAGTACCACATTTAGCCCACAGTGTCTCAAACACCCCAGGAAATAGGTAGTATTATCCCCATTTTACAGATAAGGAAACTGAGGCACTAAATCTTTGCTTCAGGTCATGCAGCCAGGAAGTGAGCAGCTGGGTTTGCCTCAGACCGTCTGATGCCACAGCCCTCGCTCTTCCCCACCCTGCTGCCTTACATTTGCCAAATGGTATACAGAAGCAACCAAACAAAATGAACAAATAGTCATTGAGTTAGAACCACTGTCATGGCAGATTGGACCAGTCTTGTTCACTTCTGCATCCCAGTGCCCAGGACAGAGCCTGGCATATTGTAAATATCCGATAAACATTTGTTGAATGCATGACTGAGTCCCTACAGTGTACCCAGATGTGCAAAGGTACATTGTTGGGGGGCAGGGGATGAGTGAGTGTACAGAGTACTTGTCCCTTCATGGTGCTTTGTGTCTGCCTGGAGAGGCAGATAACTCAGGAATAGGTGCACAGTACTGAAGCTGAACAACACAGGCGGGCGGTGTCCCAGTCAGCCCCATGATTCATTGCCTTGGGATTGGAGCAGACAATAAGTGGCTGTGAGTTGGAGGAAGGAGAGGTCACCGTGGGCAGGAGAGGACTGTGAAGGCTTCCTGGAGGGCCAGAGCCTGCCCTCAGTGGGATTATGTGGGGTGGGTATTCCAGGTGTGGGGAGAGTATTCCAGGTGTGGGGAAGGTATTCCAGGTAAAAGTGAGGAAGTGGGGAAAGGAGACTGAACCAGAAGCCTCTAAAGAAACTGCAGATCCAAAGATTTTGGATTTGAATAGAGGAGGGACTGGCCATGGTCTCGTTGGAGAGGAGGGGGCATTCAAGACAGAGACAGTAGCTGGGTCTGACTGGGATCTGCAAATGCATGACCTCAAAGCCAGGGGAGATGGGCAGAAGAAGGGGGTTATTGTGGTGATGGGGGTGCAGCTTGTGGTTGGCTAGGGCAGAGGTTGGGAAAGGCAGGTGTGAAGTAGGGGCTGGATATATGGGGATAGATGTCAAATAGGAGCCAGATGTTCATCCAGAGACCAGAGCGTGTGGGGTGGGGGAGTGGTCAGGGAAAGGCTGGTGGTGTCATAATCATTGGCAACTCTGTCCCAGTTAGACCTGCTGGGCTCCCTGTTGCTAAGGACAGGCCAGGGCAGTTCCCAATGCCAATTCCAGGGCTAGTCAGCCCTGACCACAGTTCTGACCCCAATCTTGACCTGTGTTCCCTTGTACGCACCTGCCCATGGTAGCAGGAGGGGGAGGAGAGGAGCCCTAGCAACTGTTCATGTGCTTGTGCACACGCTCTGGGGCATGTGTGCACGCTCTGGGGCCTATGTGTGCACGCTCTGGGGCCTATGTGTGCACGCTCTGGGGCATGTGTGCACGCTCTGGGACCTGTGTGCACACTCTGGGGCATATGTGTTGGGGGAAAGTCAGGAAGGCTAACACCTACTCCTCAACCCTAACCATTTTCACAAGCCTCGCCCAATTCAAGCTGGCCTTTTATGGGGATGGCGAACACTGGGCACCGTGGGTGATTGTCAGAAAAAGAGGATTTGAGATATCATACCTCATACTATGCACTGACTTGGCATCTCATAATAAAGAGAAATGAGACATCATCCCCTCTCCCTCCAGCCAACCTTAATGGGGCCCAGTGTAAGAAGTCATGGTCCCAGTGTCTGGGGTGTGTAAGGAGGTAGTTGTGTCTCTTTCCTACCATGCATGTGGGGAGGGGTGCTCCAATTGGGGATGCTCGAGGCCTCACCCTTCCACTGGCTCTCTCTCCCTATCTCAGTATCAGGGTAATTACCATCGGTGACTAAGGCAGGATGCTCGTGAGAAGGAGGTGTTGGGTGAAGCACAGAGCAGAGAGCAGGGAGGGAAAGAAGGAAAGAGGGCGGGCAGCTGGGCTCAGGCCCAGGGAGCGTCAGGTGGGTGAGGGTGTTCCATGGGCGGGAGCTGCTCTAAGCATGCCAGGCCTCTTACTGGCTCCTCCAGCTGGGGCAGACACTGCTGCTACACCCAGCTGTGGATGAGATTCAGGGATCTGAGTTTCTGGGATTGGGGTTCTGTGCTGGGACTGACTGCTCTTGTGGAGAATCGTGTGTCAATGGGAGAGGGTGAGTATGGGGCCAGCTCTGGGCAGCTCAGGGCCAGGCTTCTCTTCCCAGCTCATGGCCTCTGTTTTGCCTCTTCCCCTTGCAGCCCTCCTGATTCTGGGGCCTGCCAGGATGGGGCCGCTGAGGCACAGCCCAGGCCCTGGGGGGCAACGGCTACTGCTGCCCTCCATGCTGCTAGCACTGCTGCTCCTGCTGGCTCCATCCCCAGGCCACGCCACTCGGGTAGTGTACAAGGTGCCGGAGGAACAGCCACCCAACACCCTCATTGGGAGCCTCGCAGCTGACTATGGTTTTCCAGATGTGGGGCACCTGTACAAGCTAGAGGTGGGTGCCCCGTACCTTCGCGTGGATGGCAAGACAGGTGACATTTTCACCACCGAGACCTCCATCGACCGTGAGGGGCTCCGTGAATGCCAGAACCAGCTCCCTGGTGATCCCTGCATCCTGGAGTTTGAGGTGTCTATCACAGACCTCGTGCAGAATGGCAGCCCCCGGCTGCTAGAGGGCCAGATAGAAGTACAAGACATCAATGACAACACACCCAACTTTGCCTCACCAGTCATCACTCTGGCCATCCCTGAGAACACCAACATCGGCTCACTCTTCCCCATCCCGCTGGCTTCAGACCGTGATGCTGGTCCCAACGGTGTGGCATCCTATGAGCTGCAGGCTGGGCCTGAGGCCCAGGAGCTATTTGGGCTGCAGGTGGCAGAGGACCAGGAGGAGAAGCAACCACAACTCATTGTGATGGGCAACCTGGACCGTGAGCGCTGGGACTCCTACGACCTCACCATTAAAGTGCAGGATGGCGGCAGCCCCCCACGCGCCAGCAGTGCCCTGCTGCGTGTCACCGTGCTCGACACCAATGACAACGCCCCCAAGTTTGAGCGGCCCTCCTATGAGGCCGAACTATCTGAGAATAGCCCCATAGGCCACTCGGTCATCCAGGTGAGAGGCCCCCTCCATATAACTGTCAGGGTGATCCACCATTAGAAATGGGAGCCCACCCAAGCAGGTGAGCGTTCCCTTCACTTAGGGGAAAAGCTGCCAGAATACTGTAGTGAGACCCCTTCTCCCCAAACTCAGCCAGGGGAGCCTTTCCCACCCCACCCCAGCAGTGATATTACTTTCCTCTATTAGGCTACTTAAGTGACAGTGACGCAGCATATGAACAGTTTCCCCCCACTCCTAAGCGGACTCAAGCTGGGGAAACCTCTGAGAAGTGAAACTCCCACCCTAGTCAAGTAGACCTCTGCCAGCCAGGTGAGCTGAGTTGGAACAGAGGAATCACCGTTTATCCAGGTAGAATCTCTCCTGAGATGAGAGTGTTTTCCCAACCAGGGACAGTTTCCCTTTAGCCAGATGAGGTTTTCCTGAAACTGAAGGAAATAGCCTCATTTTGCCTCTTCTTGACAAAGTCAAATGAGATCATTTTAGCCAGGTGTTCTAAAAACACATACTGGGGTGTCTATATACCTGCCTCCTCCCTTAGGCATGGGGTGCCCATAGGTGTGGGGTGCTTGGCACAGTGGGGTTCAGTGGGGGGTCAGTTTCCTCTGCTGAAGTTCTCAGCACCCCTCCATGGGAACTGCCCCAGGCGCTGGGCAGCTTGATGGGGCTGGGGCCTGGGAGGGAGCAAAGAAAGCGTCCCTGCAGACAGGTGGGTGTATCTCCTGCTGTCATCTCAGCTCTGGCCTCCTGCCAGCCCCAGCTCCTTTCTCCTTCCCCATGGGCTGAAGATGCCTCTCTCTTTGATGTGAGGGAGCTGAGGAGGCGCGGCCTGCCCTGGACACCGTTACCCATCCTGGAAAACCCTTAGTCCTAGGTCCTCAAGTCGAAGTGGGAGATGGGTGGGAGTTTCAGCCTTTTTTTTTTTTTTAAGAGCCTGGTAGACTGGGACCTGGAAAAGGACTGAAAAACAAAAGGGAGACAGACCAGTCGGAGATGGCAAATAATAATAGCCTAGGTGCCAGGCACCGTTCTAAACACATGATGTGTATTATATCATTTAATCCTTAGAGTACAAGGTAAGCATTATCCCCATTTTGCAGATGAGAAAATGAGCCCATACAGATTAGAAAACTTGCCTGATATCCTACAGCTAATGAGTTCAGAGTCCACCTTTGCCGCAGCCAAGAGTCTGGCTTCAGAGCCTAGGTGTGTAACAGCTTTACCACCTCCCAGTGAGGTGAAGCGGGAGAGTAGGGCAGAGAGTAAGCAGGGAGGTCAGCAGGGCTGAAAAAAGAGGATGGAAGAAAACGGGCTGTGGGAATGGGGCAGAATCAGAACTGAGCAAGGATAGAAAGGAGACAGAAGCCAAGAGTCACAGACAGAGACAAAGGGAGGTAAGACAAGAGGCAGATAAGCTGGAAGACCAATCTAGAGGCAAGGGAGACTGGGGATCCTCATCATAAAGTTAGTGACAGGTAAACTGGGGTAAGGGGAGGAGAAACTGTTAAGGTTTGGCACCCAGAGATGTGAGCAGAGACCAGGGTACCTGGGGAACCGTTGCCCAGGAGTCTTCACTGTAGCAAAAGCCCAGACAGGAATAGCTGGAGTTCCCATTCCCAAGGAGGAGAGGACTGGCAGTGGCTGGAGGGCTCACTCGGTGCAGTGCCCACTACTGCATTAGCACTGATTTTTCAGAGGCAGGAGGGTAGGAGGGTAGAGGTTGGACAAGCAAAAAGAAATAAATGCTATTTAGGGAGCACTTTCCCTGTGTCAGGCATTTTTACCTGTATTATCCCATTTGATACTCGCCACAGTTCTGTGAAACAGGTTACATTAATATCCCCATTTCACATGTTCCTAGACTGAGGCTTAGGGAGGTTAAATAATTGGCCCAAGGTCACACAGTTACTTGGGAAGTGGTATAACTGGGATTTGAACCCAGGACTCTTCTGTTTTGTTACCCTAGAGACTCTACCAAGTTACGCTTATTCTCCCCTCACTCCCCACAGCCATCACATTCTGTCTGGCTGTGACCTAACTCCAGCCCTCATGTTTCTCCCTGCCCAGTAGTACCCCATGGCCATTCCCACCTGGGTCCTCTTGCCCCATTACCAACCATGTTTGTATAGAGTTGGGTCGAGTGCGCGTCGGAGTTGGCGTGGGAGGGCGTGCCCGCTGACTGCAAAGGGACAGACAGTTCATTGTTTGATGCTGGGAGCCCAGCCCACTGCCAGCAGGCTCTGTGGCCTGCATCAGCCCCTCCCTCCTGGCTGCAGGCTCAGGCCGGATTCCTCGCATTGGTGCCTCGCCAGCCAGTGCCAGCCAGGAGGAGAAGTTGCTGCTGAAACAGGTTTCCCCGGTTTGACAGAGCGGTGGCTGGGGCCCGGCCTGGAGGGCTTCTCTGACCCACAACGCTACCTGATTTCTTTCAAAAGAAATACCCCAACCTGGGGCCTTCAGGTGGGCATGTGAGTCTTTACTCATGTGTGCAAACACACATATGCACAAACACAAATACCTTCTCTCACAAAAATCACACATAATCACACATTCTGACACAGTCATACACATACAAACACATACCTTCTCATACAAAAATATCACACATAATCACACATTCTGACACAATCATACACATACATGTGTGCAGGCGTGCCTGTAGTGCACATTCACACGGGCACACACACCACCTCTACTACTCACACCTCTCCATCTCTTCAGGAGGGTTCAGGCAGGGTTCATTGGTGAAATGGCGTCCCTAGTTCTATTGGATCCTCATCCTCTCCTGGTATTTTTGTGGACCCACACAGCAGTGACAAGTGAAGTTTAATTCTGCCCTGTCCCATCTCCAATAGTCGCCTGTAGCACTGTTGAGGATTTGCAGGCTGCATCTGGGCTCTTCAGGAAAATAGGTTAGTAATGCCTGCCAGAGTGTCCGAATTGGGAAAAGGCAGTACACACATGGCTTCTGGAAAGGGAGCGATGTTGGATTGGCTGTGTCTGCCATGCTTGTTGGAAAGGACATTGGCAGCACATATGCCCCTTTATTTGCTCTCCCTGATCTAAACTGTCTCTGTTCTCCTTGTTTTTCTCTCCTGTTCCATAGGTGAAGGCCAATGACTCAGACCAAGGTGCCAATGCAGAGATTGAATACACATTCCACCAGGCACCCGAAGTTGTGAGGCGTCTTCTTCGACTGGACAGGAACACTGGACTTATCACTGTTCAGGGCCCGGTGGATCGTGAGGACTTAAGTACCTTGCGCTTCTCAGTGCTTGCTAAGGACCGAGGCACCAACCCCAAGAGTGCCCGTGCCCAAGTGGTTGTGACCGTGAAGGACATGAATGACAACGCCCCCACCATTGAGATCCGGGGCATAGGGCTAGTGACTCATCAAGATGGGATGGCTAACATCTCAGAGGATGTGGCAGAGGAGACAGCTGTGGCCCTGGTGCAGGTATCTGACCGAGATGAGGGAGAGAATGCAGCTGTCACCTGTGTGGTGGCAGGTGATGTGCCCTTCCAGCTGCGCCAGGCCAGTGAGACAGGCAGTGACAGCAAGAAGAAGTATTTCCTGCAGACTACCACCCCGCTGGACTACGAGAAGGTCAGAGACTACACCATTGAGATTGTGGCTGTGGACTCTGGCAACCCCCCACTCTCCAGCACCAACTCCCTCAAGGTGCAGGTGGTGGACGTCAATGACAACGCACCTGTCTTCACTCAGAGTGTTACTGAAGTCGCCTTCCCAGAAAACAACAAGCCTGGTGAAGTGATTGCTGAGGTCACCGCCAGTGATGCTGACTCTGGCTCTAATGCTGAGCTGGTTTACTCTCTGGAGCCTGAGCCGGCTGCTAAGGGCCTCTTCACCATCTCTCCCGAGACTGGAGAGATCCAGGTGAAGACATCCCTGGATCGGGAACAGAGGGAGAGCTATGAGTTGAAGGTGGTGGCAGCTGACCGGGGCAGCCCTAGCCTCCAGGGCACAGCCACTGTCCTTGTCAATGTGCTGGACTGCAATGACAATGACCCCAAATTTATGCTGAGTGGCTATAACTTCTCAGTGATGGAGAACATGCCAGCGCTGAGTCCAGTGGGCATGGTGACTGTCATTGATGGAGACAAGGGGGAGAATGCCCGGGTGCAGCTCTCAGTGGAGCAGGACAATGGTGACTTTGTTATCCAGAATGGCACAGGCACTATCCTCTCCAGCCTGAGCTTCGATCGAGAGCAACAAAGCACCTACACCTTCCAGCTGAAGGCGGTGGATGGTGGCGTCCCACCTCGCTCAGCTTATGTTGGCGTCACCATCAATGTGCTGGATGAGAATGACAACGCACCCTATATCACTGCCCCTTCTAACACCTCTCACCGGCTGCTGACCCCCCAGACACGTCTTGGTGAGACGGTCAGCCAGGTGGCAGCTGAGGACTTTGACTCTGGTGTCAATGCTGAGCTGATCTACAGCATCGCAGGTGGCAACCCTTACGGACTCTTCCAGATTGGGTCACATTCGGGTGCCATCACCCTGGAGAAGGAGATTGAGCGGCGCCACCATGGGCTACACCGCCTGGTGGTGAAGGTCAGTGACCGCGGCAAGCCCCCACGCTATGGCACAGCCTTGGTCCACCTTTATGTCAATGAGACTCTGGCCAACCGCACGCTGCTGGAGACCCTCCTGGGCCACAGCCTGGACACACCGCTGGATATTGACATTGCTGGGGATCCAGAATACGAGCGCTCCAAGCAGCGTGGCAACATTCTCTTTGGTGTGGTGGCCGGTGTGGTGGCCGTGGCCTTGCTCATCGCCCTGGCGGTTCTTGTGCGCTACTGCCGGCAGCGGGAGGCTAAAAGTGGTTACCAGGCTGGTAAGAAGGAGACCAAGGACCTGTATGCCCCCAAGCCCAGTGGCAAGGCCTCCAAGGGAAACAAAAGCAAGGGCAAGAAGAGCAAGTCCCCAAAGCCCGTGAAGCCAGTGGAGGACGAGGATGAGGCCGGGCTGCAGAAGTCCCTCAAGTTCAACCTGATGAGCGATGCCCCTGGGGACAGTCCCCGCATCCACCTGCCCCTCAACTACCCACCAGGCAGCCCTGACCTGGGCCGCCACTACCGCTCTAACTCCCCACTGCCTTCCATCCAGCTGCAGCCCCAGTCACCCTCGGCCTCCAAGAAGCACCAGGTGGTACAGGACTTGCCACCTGCAAACACATTCGTGGGCACCGGGGACACCACGTCCACGGGCTCTGAGCAGTACTCCGACTACAGCTACCGCACCAACCCCCCCAAATACCCCAGCAAGCAGGTAGGCCAGCCCTTTCAGCTCAGCACACCCCAGCCCCTACCCCACCCCTACCACGGAGCCATCTGGACTGAGGTGTGGGAGTGATGGAGCAGGTTTACTGTGCCTGCCCATGTGGGGGCCAGCCTGAGCCAGCAGTGGGAGGTGGGGCCTTGGTAATAACCCTGCTGCCTCACCCAGGCACAGGGATTAGGCTGAGTGAAGATTAAGGGAGGGTGTGCTCTGTGGTCTCCTCCCTGCCCTCTCCCCACTGGGGAGAGGCCTGTGATTTGCCCTGAACCAGCTGCTGGGCCTTGTGTGTTGGGGGTGGTGGGCAGGTGAGCAGAAGTGGGGAGGGAAATGGGGAAGAAGTCTACTCCAAACCTAGGTCTCTATGTGAGACCAGCCCTAGGTGCTTCTCTAGGAGGGAAACAGGGAGACCTGGGGTCCCGTGGATAACTGAGTGGGGAGTCTGCCAGGGGAGGGGACCTCACCATTGTGCCTTCTGTGTGTATTGTGCATTAACCTCTTCCTCACCACTAGGCTTCTGGGGCTGGGTCCCACGTGCCCTTGACCCTGACAATAAAGTTCTCTATTTTTGGAGTTTTGGTTTCTTATTTTCTGGAACTGAGAGAAGAAGCGAGAGAGACTGGAAGCAGCCCTTTGTCCTCAGGTCCTACCTCAATTTCCCCTTCCCTTCTCTTTGCCTCTTGCCATATCCTAGACCTGCCCACTGTACCCCACACTATCTTAGCCTACCATCTTGCCATCCACCCCCATGTCCCTATCCACCTCTGGGAAAGTGGCCTTCTGATCAGCCTTCAAATGGAGGTGTCTGGCAGTGTATCCCCTTGCCCCATGTCTGTAGGGCTTTCTTCCTAAGAATGACCCAGAAAGGGTGGGTGGAGCTGTACCCAAGTCCTGCCCCATCTGAGGCTTGATTCTTCCAACCTGCTCAAACAGTTGCCTCTGACAGACCTCAGACTGGAGCACCTGGCAGGGGGTAACATTCAGCCTTCCTGCCTTGGGTGAAGGCAGAGAACCTCTTGATTACACCAGCCACCTTCCCCCAGGGCAAGTCCTTCCCTCAAGTCCCTTCCCCAGCCTCTTCATCCCAACAACACTCAACACCCAGCAATTAGCTGGTTCTCCCCTGTGTCTCCCCACCATGATCACCAGCCTGGGCTGCAGGGAGCGGGGCCCAGGGGGAGGCAAGGGAATTCCTAAGTTCTTTTCATTGACCTGCCCTGCACCCCTGCTCTTAGGGGGTTCCCTGCTCATGAGCAGAGGCTTCCTAATTCTGCCTTCTGCCTGTGATGCTACCTCCCTCCCCTCTTTCCACTCCTTGCTTTGGCCACCCTGGGTTGCTTGCTCTCACTCTCTCTCTCTCCGTCTCTCACTTCTTACTCTCCTGGGTCTGCCCTGTCTCTGGTTGTGCCTGAGTTGGAGGAAGGCTAAATCATGGCTGAGGGGCCTCAGGCCCTAGGGGAGTCTCTGAGGCCAGAGGCAACCTATCTCCATGGTGACTAAAGAGGCTTGAGACACTCCCAAGAGGACCAAGGCGCCAGCTCTCTCCTCTGATTCCATCCACAAACTCCCCCATTGTCCTGGGAGGGGCCCCAAAGTAAAAACTCCTGGGGTCCTTGGAGGAGTGGGGACTCGGGAAGTGAGATCTAACCACGTCGTGACCTCCAACAACTCCTGACCTCCCATTCTTTCTCTTCCTTTTCTGTCCTTGCTGGCATTCCTTCCGTCAATCTCCTATTCCTTTAGCATCTTCATCTCTTTTTCTTTCCCATGGTCTGAGGGATTGTCTCTTACTCAGCTCTAATCCAACCTAACCCATCCATGGAGCCACATTGAATGTCTTCTCCCAACATTCAGATAGAACCAAACCACACCACCTGTTGTCAGCATCAACACACATAGGCCAAGTTTCCACTGAGTACTCAGCATGGTACTAGACCCTGATAAAAAAAATGGCCATACTTATACAAGACAGACAAGTGAACGATGAGGCAATTGAGAGCCTTAAGAGTCGAATGAGAAGTGCCCTACTAAAGCTTTTCCTAACTTATTCCATGAAACTACTTATACTACTACTCACTTCCTTTTCTTTTTTTTTTTTTTTTTTGAGATGGAGTTTCACTCTTGTTGCGCAGGCTGGAGTGCAATGGCACAATCTCGGCTCACTGCAACCTCTGCCTCTCGGGTTCAAGAAATTCTCCTGCCTCAGCCTCCCAAGTAGCTGGGATTACAGGCATGTGCCACCACACCCAGCTAATTTTATATTTTTAATAGAGACAGGGCTTCTCCATGTTGGTCAGGCTGGTCTTGAACTCCTGACCTCAGGCGATCCACCCACCATGGCCTCCCAAAGTGCAGGGATTACAGGTGTGAACCACTGCGCCCAGCCCTCACTTCCATTTTTTTTTTTTTTTTTTTTTTTTTTTTGAGACGGAGTCTGGCTCTGTCACCCAGGCTGGAGTGCAGTGGCCGGATATCTGCTCACCGCAAGCTCCGCCTCCCGGGTTCACGCCATTCTCCTGCCTCAGCCTCCGGAGTAGCTGGGACTACAGGCGCCCGCCACCTCGCCCGGCTAGTTTTTTGTATTTTTTAGTAGAGACGGGGTTTCACCGTGTTAGCCAGGATGGTCTCGATCTCCTGACCTAGTGATCCGCCCGTCTCGGCCTCCCAAAGTGCTGGGATTACAGGCTTGAGCCACCGCGCCCGGCCACTTCCATTTTTTTAAGTCCTTACTAGGTGTGAGGTACCATGCTAAGCACTTTGTGCGAATTAGTTCAATCAGTGTTCATAACTTTATGATATGGGTCATTTTAATATTCATTTTGCAGAAGTGAAAACTAGTGATACAGCCAGATTCAAACACAAAGCAGGCGGGTCTCCTATTATCTATTATGCTATAAAAAAGGGGTTCTGTGGGGAAGTTAGTTTTGGTAGTAAGAAATTCACAATCACATTAGCCTATTAAAGGCTCTGCAGAGTCCTCCAAAAAAGGGGGAAACTGCTAGACATTTTTTTTCTTTTTTTTTTTTTTTTGAGGCAGGGTCTTGCTCTGTCATCCAGGCTGGAGTGCAGTGGTGCAATCTTGGCTCACTGCAACCTCTGCCTCCTGGACTCAAGCGATCCTCCTGTGTAGCTGGGACTATAGGCGTGCACCACCACATCTGGCTAATTTTTGTATTTTCTGCAGAGACAGGGTTTTGCCATGTTGCCCAGGCTGGTCTCAACTCCTGGGCTCAAGCGATCTGCCCACCTCAGCCTCTCAAAATGCTGGGATGACAGGTGTGAGCTGCTGTGCCCAGCCCCAATTTTGTTTACCTCTTGAGTTTTCTGAATTTATTTTACCATATTGCCCCTCCCTTCCTTTGACCAGCACAGTGTGGGAAAACTTACACAAGACATGGAGATGGGCTTCTGGAAGGAGAAAGTCAGCCTGTCAATGATGAGCAGGATTGAGGCAGGGTCCTAATCACAGGGTCTCCTCACAGGGTCACCGTATGAGCAAACTCCTGTGGCAGGAGTGAACCAAGTTGGAGGGAGGGAAAGGGCAGAAAAAGGAATATTCTGGCAAGAATGGAAGGCATAAGAGAAAGCTGAAAGAAGAGACTGGAAGAACTGTAGGTTGTAGAGGACATAGGTGCCTTACCAAAAGTTCTTCAGAAGGAAATAGTCCCTGAAAGCTCATGAGTGTTTTAGATGAACTGAATTTTAGAAGGTTCACTGGAATATATGGTGGGCTTAAAGGGCATAGAGATGAAGGTACAGGACTGAACCTCTTAATTTGGACTATGATGGTGGCAATGGGGGTGATGGATGGACAGATTTGGCCAAGGTTAGGGATAAAGGACCCACAGGATTCAAGGGATAATTGGATATGGGGTAGGGATGGGGAATGAGGGGAGAGCTACCAGGATTCCCAGGTAGACATCAGCCTTCTGAGTCTGGGTGATAGGATAGTGATGAGATCATTGATCATACAGAAGCTAATTGAAGAAGAATTTGGTTTCAGACATGTTGAATCTTAAGGGCCAGTAGCCAGAGCCAATTGGAAATAATCAGTAAGTGTCTAGAGCTTCAGGACTAGTTTGAGTTTGAGAGAGATTTTTTGATCTGGGCTTTTATAATTTGATAGTCATAAAATTAGAGGGAACATTAAGTGTTGGGTATAACTCAACCCTCCATTTTACAGAAAAGAATCATGGGAAAAGAGACCAAGCAACTTGCTTAGTAGGCAGGACTGAAGCCTTCAATTACCAGATATGGGTTCTGCAGGGAGGTGAGACTGCTGGCCAGTATCTTGAAAGAAAACTGGAAAGAGAAGCACCAACAACCATATTGCCCCATGCCTCCCAGACCTCTCCTGGACTCTGTTCACCTCTACACCAGGTGGACTACACTCCTTTATGGCCTCCCAGCCCCAAATGTCCATATCAGTTTTGGGGACCTTATCAGTCATTACCCAGACCCTTCAGTACAAGGATTCCAAGAACGGTCGCTTATTCCTGAAGATGAGGTGGGAGCCATCTTCAGGAATGGGGATAGTGGGGAGGCAGTTCTGGGCTACCTTCCCCACAGCTCCAAAACTCCTGTCCTGACAGCCTCTTCCACCCTAGCTGCCTTGAATGGGGCTGTTAGGAGGGTAAGTCTACAAAGCCAGGGCCACCTCCCCTGGCCATCTTCATAACCTCCTATCCAGAGTTATAGAGTAAGACAAAGCACTGCCAAAGTCTTGGAGGATGGGAAGGAGCGTGGAGACTCATCAGCAGAGCCCTGGGCTTGGCTGTTTTCACCCCTGGCCTCCAGAGGCCCTGGGTCTGCGCCCTCCACAACTCCTAATTTCTGGTTGGCAGGAAAATCTGTGGCAGTCCCAAGTGGGTATTTGGGTGGCTGGCTGCTTGTGCCAAGTGCCAAGTTGAGGTTGCCAGGTTCCAGGGCTGATCGTTAACCTGTGGCAGGCATACAGGGCTGCTGGCTGGGAGCAGCCTGTAACAGTTCCACTCCCCTGACCCCTAGTCCCCAGTCCCCAGTCCCCAGTCCCCAGTCCAAGCCTCCAAGTCTGGCTCCTCATGCCAGCAGCCCTCCCAGAAGCTACTTCCTATTTCCTGGAAGGAGTCTCCCTTTGAGACCAGCTTTCCTAATCCCTAATGGGTGCCATGCCCTCCCCCCATGTCCAGGCTCCTGGCAGAGCCCTACCCTCTCCAGTGAATATTCTATTTCCTGATGGGAGGATTGGGTAGTTTCCATTGTTCTGCTTTGTCTCCTTCCCCCAGGTGCCCTGGTTTGTTATCAGGCTCCTCCCTCTTTTTTCCACTCCCAGGCCTCTCTGGAGGGGAGTGAGGTGGGGATGGGGGGCTGAGTGGGAGGGGCCACAGCAGGGAGTCTTCAGACTGCTGCAACATCACAAACCAGGGATGAGGAACAGAGGATAAGAAATGAAAGGTTGTCCCCTCATTTGGAAGGAGGCAGTGGCAAGAGCAGTGAGACAGGTGAGGAGCTGGAGTTTGGAGGGTGCTGTTTGGAAATGAGGGAACTAACTGTTCTGGTATTGGTGAGCTGTTTGGGAGTTAGGAGTCTGCTGC